GGAGGAGGAGGAGGAGGAGGAGGAGGAGGAGGAGGAGAAGGAGAAGAAGAAGAAGAAGAAGAAGAAGAAGAAGAAGAAGAAGAAGAAGAAGAAGAAGAAGAAGAAGAAGAAGAAGAAGAAGAAGAAGAAGAAGAAGAAGAAGAAGAAGAAGAAGAAGAAGAAGATTATACTTATGTTTTCTGAACCTGCTTCAACAACTCAGCAGGAAGCAATTTTTAATCCCCCACAACAGATCAGCAGCAATTTCCAAGATGGCAAGGATATTCCACAGCTTGACATCAACCTAATCAAAGGCTCAATTAATCAATTGAATCCATCTTGACCAGGGGTGGGATTCAACTGGTGTTACTACTGGTTCGGTGACTACATTTTGCGCTGCATGTGTGTGTAAAAAAACCATCAGCTATGCCGCCCGGACAGCTGAAAAGCTCTTTTCAGCATTTGAAAAGCCTCTTTTTCCCTGCTTTTTCAACCTCAGTTGTGCTGCTGAGGACAGGTAAGAGCCCAGGCAGGCAGGTGGGCCAAACAGCAGCAAACACAGAACCTGCTGTTTCCATTATCTTGGAAACACAAGTGTCTGCTGCTCTTCAGAGCTACTGGTTCTATAGAACTGGGCAGAACTGGTAGCATCTGACCCCTTAACTTATTTGTCGCATTTTTTGGTTTTTCTCAATTATCCAGATTATATCAGAAATGATTTTTCGGGTTACTCAGCCTTTTTTAAATCAAGTGTGAATTATTTCCTTTCCATATAGGCAGTAGTGTACTGTAGCCAGTTCATACTAATTTGTGAGCTAGTTAAAAGCAGAGTTAACCCAAGATTCCTGGTACACAAATTAGCTGTTCAGCAGCTAACAGCAAGGTGAAGGCAATGGAGAGAAAAAGTATTTTTTGGTAGAATCAGTTGTAAAACATTTAACAGCATACCACTGCATGTAGATTCTAATCTTGTTGGACAATGCTACCTATTTGCTTGCATGTGGAATAAAGTGTGTGTGTGTTGGTGTGTGTGTGTGTTTATGTATACATATGTGCACATGCCTTCAAGCCAAGTTTTTCACTTCTGGAAACAACCTGTATTGGAAACAGTCTGCAACATCCTCTGTAGTCTTTTTTTCCAAGGTTTTTCAGAAGTGGTTTGTCCCTGTTTCCTTTCTAGGGCTGAGAAAGAACACTGGCCCAAGGTGACCCAGCTAGCTTTGGACCTAAAGTGGGACTATAACTAACAGACACCCCAAGTTTCTAGCTTGATGCCTTAACCACTACATCAAACTGGCTCTTAATTAATTATGTTAAATGTCCTTTAATATCAATAGACACATATCTTCCAATCTGTTGGCCAGTCTGACTTCATCTTCTAGTACTAGAAGTACTTGTAAATAAAGAGTAACTTCAAAGGTTCTTACAAGTAAGAAAAGGTTTACTTTTCTTACATTTCCCCTGAACGGAATTTCAGTATCTCCTTTCCACTTTCCTTTCATCTTCTCTAAATCAGTTGCTATCTAACAACTGATATCCTTCAGCATACCAATTCAAGATGAGAACCTCTCTCTGAGTTTGGAAATCTTTTGGAAGACATTCCTTCTTTTTCTGTTTTCACCTTCAGTGTCTTTACAGGTGTCATTGTAATACTGCTTCTTTTCTAGGAGGACTACCTATACTGTACATCTATTCACACCTGAAAGAACTGCATTATAAATAAGTGTGAAGCCCTTCAGATAATACAGACAATTTAAAAATCTAGCATTATACGTAATATTTTTTTAAATGCTATGTTTTTGAACATGGTTGTTGCATTCTCAGGAATGAGTCAGCAATTAGGTGTGTCATCATGATAGGATGAAGATCCAGTAATTTTTCAGATGTTTATGAACTTCAGCTTCAAGCAGCCTTTATTACAGCCTTTTTCTGCAACATCTTTGGCAGACTATACACTATCAGCCTTGCTTTATTGGTCTTGAAACTTTGTACCTTTATTCTTCTCTACCTGTGATGGCGAACCTATGGCACGTATGCCACAGGTGGCCCACAGAGCCCTCTCTGCGGGCATGCGAGCTGCCACTCAGCTCAGTTCCAACACGTATGCACGTGCACCTCCTGCCGGCTAGCTGATTTGGGGGACTTTGCCATGCATGCGCGGGGGGACGGGGCACATGCGGGAGATGCATGTGCATGCACGGGTGGGGGGAGCATGGGGGTTTGCATGCGTGGGAGGCAAGGGGAGCATGGGGGGTGCAGCATGGCCCCCCTGTGCTCCCTATTTTGGGCCTAGTAGGCTTCCCTGCAGCCTCCTGGGAGCAAAAACAGGCCGTGGGAGTGGGCTGTGCCACACACCCCATGCTGTTTTTGCTCCCAGGAGGCTGCAGGGAGGCCTACTAGGCTCAAAAGGGGAGCGGGGGGTTGTGTGCGGATGCGCAGGGGGGCAGGGCAAGCAGAAGGGGGTCACACGCGCATTGCATTATGAGTGCAGGCACATGCACATGCTTTCACGTTCGCACGCCAGAGGTGGCATTCAGCAGGTTCTGACCAGTTCTGGAGAACCAGTAGCAGAAGTTTTGAGTAGTTCGGAGATCCGGCAAATACCACCTCTGACTGGGGATTTTACAGTATCCTTCCCCTGCCACGCCCACAGAACCAGCAGTAAAAAAATTTGAATCCCACCACTGGCGCACGTGCAGACTTTCAGCACACAATAACAAAAAGGATAGCCCTCACTGTTCTATACTGTGTCTGCAGCAGAAGTACTTGGGATCCCCTAGCAGAAGCCAATAGCTATCTTTCTATGACGCTCACATGCTTACTTATTCTTCATGGCTTACTCAATTAATATAGTTTGGGGGATCTGCACAAGACAGCTAATTCCTGGGATTATATATGAAATTTTAAATCGTAAGCAATTGGACTGAGCAGGGGACTTGTAAAGGAAAAGGATTTTAAAAAAAGCCAAGATAGCAGCTGGAACCAGGCGATTGAAACTATCTGCTATCCCCCTTTTAAAATATGTGTTACATGGTTTGTGGCCCTGCCATGTTGACTCCCTTAGAATTATATTTTAATTGTATTTGCAACCATATTTTCTAATGAACATTCTGAAAGCCTTAAAAATCCCTAAGAAGTCCTTTGTTTTCATTAGCCTCTTCCCCCATCCCTAGCCTGAAGCATTCTGTGTGTGCTCCTGTGCATAGATACAGGTAGCCCTCAACTTACAACAGTTCATTTAGTGACCATTCAAAGTCACAACAGCACTGAAAAAAGTGACTTATGACCATTTTTCACATTGATGACCGTTGGAGCATCATGTGATTTACATTTAGGTGCTTTGACAACCAACTCACATTTATGACGGTTGCAGTGTCCCGGGATCATGGGATCCCCTTTTGCGACCTTCTGAAAAGGAAAGTCAATGGGGAAACCAGATTCACTTCACAACCGTGTTGCTGGTTTCAGAACTGCATTGGTTCACTCAACAAATGTGGCGAGAAAGGTCGTAAAATGGAGCAAACTCACTCAACAAATTTCTCACTTAGCAACATAAATGTTGGGCTCAGTTGTGGTGATAACTTGAGGACTGCCTGTACTCTGTGTGTATTCCACCCGCTCAAGGTTGACTCAGCCTTGAGACCTTCAAGAAGAGATTGTACCGCCATTTATCAGAAATGGTGTAAGGTCTCCCGCTTGGGCGGGGTGGGGGTTGGGAGGGAGCGTTGGACTAGATGACCTATAAGGTCCCTTCCAACTCTGATTATCTGTTAGCCTTTCATCCTTCTCAGGTCAGTAAAATGAGAAGCCAGATTGTTGGGGGGAAATATGCTGACTCTGTAAATTGCTTAGAGAGGACTGTAAATCTAAGTGCTATTGCACTCTCTCTCTCTCTCTCTCTGTGTGTGTGTGTGTGCGCGCGCGCGCGCATCATACGCACCACTTTACCTCAACGCGTGTATGCTGTTGCTATTTTTGTAAACCTGCCTCCTTTATCCAGTCATTACTACGCAACTCGCGCGCGCATCCTTATACAGCCGCAGGTTGAATAAGGATGCCCCCACGAGGCCTGCAGCCGCCCCTCGCTTTCCCCGCGGATATCCCTTCCTTCCCACCATTTCAACTGCATGTCTATCGTTGCAACCCTCTCCCACCCTCTCCATTCAAGTCCACGGCACCCACGAGCGAAGGCGAGGGCGAGTTCTGTCCCTCCCTGCCTACGTCAAAGCGCTGGCTGCGCTCTGGTTGGCTCCCGGCGTCCTTAAAAGGCGACAAGGGAGCGGGGGAGTGGAGGGGCGGAGGGGAACGCGCGAAGTGGCTGCTTGAAGCTCCCTCGTAGGAGCGATGTCGGGCATCCGGGCGGCTGTGGCAGCTTCCAATGATCGCGCCTCTCGCCCTGCCGCCGGCGCTGCTCTCGGCGTCGGTTTGAAGCGGCTGCGAAGTGAGCCGGGCGGCAACCGTGTGACAGTAGTGCTGGGCGCTCAGTGGGGCGACGAAGGGAAAGGGAAAGTGGTGGATCTCCTGGCCACCGAAGCCGACCTCGTCTGTAGGTGCCAGGTGAGTAAGGGCTGCACCTGTCGACCCGTCTCATGTTCTGCTACGCTGCCGCCAGGTTCCCCGCTCGTTTTTGCTGCTGTGGCTTTTAGGATGCACTTGTTCACCTGCGCAGGTGAAACTTTGGTCCCTGGAATGTTGGGGCACTGATGCGGATTAAGGTGCAATGAAAAAATAAAGAAACAAGGGCATACTGAAATATTGGTAATTACATATTGCTTCTCTGTTCTGATTCTTCTGGCTTCTTTTATTTCAAACGCCCTTCTGTTTTATTTTAAAATTTCCTCCACGTTAATGCATCCTTCCCTTGCTTCTACTCTTCAGAATATTGGATCACAAAGCCCATCGATTCCAGCTAAGTTATCCAGTTATGAGTTATAAGTGTACATGGGAGAGAAATGGATTATCTGGCTGGTGGGCCTAATGTGTGTTTTCTTAAACTTTCTATAAATTTTTCAGTCACACGGCAATATTTTCTCTTTGGACTATCCTGGCTCAAGTGCTCTATTTGTTAAATATTCTTTTTTTTCCCCCCATCTTTGAGTTTTGTCATTTCTCTGCAACTAACATTTCTTTTGGCCTTTCTTGTAAGCCTTGTGAAGTGGGCTAGTCTGAAAATGTACCATTAGTCTAAGGCTACCTCTGGACATAATGCATTCCCATTTATTTTAGTTTTTGTCATTTACTTCCTTTTTTGTTTGTCTTTTGGTTCTGATGCATGCCTTTCTCACCCATGTACCCCAGAGTGAAGCTGCACCAGAAAGGGAGGGAGGCTTTTTAAGACCGGCTACAGACTAAATGCCATCTGGGAAGAGGAGGGAAAAACAGTTCTGGGTTATAAATAGAAATAGCTGAGCCTTGGTGACAAATGACATAAGATCTGGAAGTACAGGCAAGCATGATGAACCTACCAAAACTGTGCGTCTGGAGAGTGGCACATATGCCAGGGTGTCTGGTGACGGCTGTCTGCAAGAAAGGTTGAAGGTGAGCAGAGGAGCACAGCCTAACCACTTATTAGGCGTTGCTTTGGACTCGTTGGCTTCATGCTTCTATGCTATGGTATATTATTTGAAGCCAACTTTGATCACTTGATCAATGTTGTGTGTGGGAAGTATGTCTCTTTGAGCACTTGGATCTTAAGGGTTATATAAGTGTAGCCCCGGAGGGAGGCTGTTTCAGTTAATTCTGCAACCCCAGAGGAACAGACTTTTTCTCAGACTGGCTTGATACAATGTGCTAAACTAAACCAAATAAATTCTACTGCAGCTTGGTGTAGTTTGTAAGCAGTAGCTTATGGCAAGACCTGGTATGAATGCATTCTTTTGTGGTTGAACAAAATGTGACTTAGCATAGTGTGTGAACCAAGGCATACGTAGGATTATTGTGCTAATGACGAGTATATATTGTCCTGAGCGGTTTGGAATAACTGTGAAAGAAAGATTAAAGGTAAAGTACTGAACTCACATATCATATTGCATAGTTTCATTTTTCACCATCATTAAAGCAAAAGAGTGCAAAGTACCAAAGCTGACAGTGTGTGTGTATTTGTGTAGGTGTGTAATACACACATATGGCAGGACTTGAATAATAGTTCTGCATTCATTCTGCTTTAAATTAATTACAGGTTCTCATAAATAATAAGTTACATTTATTTTTTGTTTTAAGATCAAAAGCAATTGTTCTGGAATTATTCTAAGGAACTGTATGAATAATCTAGTTCAGTCTTTTACCACCCAGCAACATATCCTACAATATACCTAAAGCTGGAAAACAGCTTTCCTACCTATTTTCTTTTATTCAAATTAAATACATGAAATATCTGCTTATATTCTAGAGATTGGTTCAGGATGTGAAGCTACCATGTGGCTATGGAGTTGTAAAACAGCATATGGAGAAAGTAGTTGAATATTTTCTTCTGTGCTTTGGCTGCCATGAAAATTGCCAGCAATTCTGTAGTTGTAAAGAAAAGTTAGCATACACAGCATCTTCCAGGGCAACTTTATGAGATTGTAGTAACAAAATAGAGAGCACCTAGTAACCTTGGATGATCTCAAGAGCTAAGCAGGGTCAGCCCTGGTTAGTACTTGGATCAAAGACAGACAGGAAACACCAGGGCTTGTAGGATAGGGCTGTAGAAACTGTCCCAGCACAAGGCAATGACAACCACATTTCTATTCCTGACAAGGCAAAAAGATCTGTGTAAGTCACTAAGAGTCATGCAAATGTACTTCATGTGCAATCTGTTCTTAGTCTGTGTTTTTTCGACAGCTGCTCTAAAACAGGGATGGAGAACTTTGAGTATTGGGAATCATTTTTTTTTTTTTTGAGGGGGACTGAGAGCTGGTGATGTGGCAAAATAGGTAGGATTGAAGCATTAATGAGCAAGTGTGGAATTTGGGGGAAGGAGAGGGTTGTTGGTTGTCTACCTTAACATTTTCAACAAGAAGAAAGATTCCTGTTATCAAATTTATGTGATACAACATTGGGCTTTGGGATTCACTTTTAATTGCTTTAAGTCAGGGGTGCAAAAGTGATTCTTTTGAAAAATAGAAGGAAATCAGAAAGATAACTTCTGGCTAACATTCTGTTTAAAGATATGCTGCTTTAACTGCACATTATTAACCTACCAGGTTTGAAAAGTGGTATGCATGATAACTGTTTTTAAAAACCTACAATTCAAATAAAGGAAAACTTGGTACAAATGAAATTTAATAATCATGATACAATTGTTTATCTAATGTAGTGTTACCTACTCCCTCAAATAATTTTAACATTTCAAATAGGTCCAGAAAGAAAAATCAACACAAGAGAACAGTGTTGAACAAAGTTTAAATTCCTAAATCTTGTAGGCTAACAATATAGGTAACTCACTTAGTTTACAGCTATAATCCAGTCTTTTGGGTTCCATATTTGAATGCATTTACTTGATGAATCTGATTGGTCATAGTTGGGCTTTCTCTTTAATAAGGAGACTGAAGTTTTAGGTTTTGTCTGTGGCTTTCTGAGGGTCATCTGTTTGGCCAATGAGGGAATAGAATGGTGAGCTGATATGGCTCAGTTCCACACAAGAGTATCAAACTCAATTTCATTAAGGGCCACATCAAAGTTGTGTTTGAGCTTGGGGGGGGGGGGGGCAGGGTGTGCGTGGCCAGCTTGATTTCACTCGTGTTGGGTGCCCGAGCGCTCTGCCAGTGAAAATGGGCTCCTGAGCTCTGTTTTCAGCTGCAACGGCTTCCTGCAACTGTCTGCCAGCAAAAACGGAGCTCCGTTTTCGCTGACAGAGGCACCATGGGCTGGATCCTTTGCTGTTTCCAGGGCAGCCCCGCGGGCCACATCTAAGCACCCCACAGGCCGGATCTAGCCTCTGGGCCTTGAGTTTGACACCCCTGCTGTAACAGTACTATAATTACTTATTATAAGCTTTTTAATGATTTTCCAAAGTCTGCAATCTTAAACTGACATGGCCTTATACAGAATGAATCAGAGTAGTAAAGAATTGGGAAAGGGCACCAGGCATGGCAGTATAGGAGCAGGTATGAACTGGTAATGATGACTGTGATTTTAAAAAACCCCATATATTTCAACCTATTTCTTTGTCTTTGTATGTAGGAACCTTAATCTTGTTAGTAAAACTAGAATGACTAAACACTTTGAATAAGGTACTACATTTTAAACATTATGACCTGCCTTTACTTCTAAATCTCAGAGGTTTCTACTTGTGTTAGTCACTGTTGATTCTTTCTAGTCCTCAGGTGTAATGACAGATGACGATTGGCCCTTGTCAGTGAATTTAGGACTGAATAGGGATTTATTTCACTGCCAAGTCCAATAGACTCTTGACAGCTTACAAGATCTAATGCAGAGTTGAAACAATTAAAAACAAACAAAACAAGATAGCTTGGATTAAAAATAGCCACAATAAACCATGACACCGCAGTCTCTCCCACTCCCAAATACATTCATCCCAGGCTTGGGAATAGAGCCAGATGTGTTTTTCAGGATCCCAGGAGAATGGGTGCCATCCATACTGCTGACAGGATGCTGTTCCAGAGAGCAGCAGCAGCAGCAGCAGAGAAGGCTGGAATCTGAAAAATAATGGAAACTGATATTCCAGTCCTTTATTTGAAAATTGTGCATTTCACACACAATGCACAACATTCAAAGGTGGATGAAATAATAGGGATCATCGTGAGATGTAGAAGCTTTGAACAAAGTCACAACTTCTGATTGGAAGTTGTGTGTTTGCCTAACCATGACCAGCAAGTTAGCTAGTTATGTATAAACACTAATGGAGGTGGGATACAAATCAAATACATTTTGTATTTTTTACAAACATGTACCACATGCTGCCATAATTGCATATGTACCATTTGCAATCCATAAAGTATTGCTCACATTTTAAGGGGACTGGGATTACAACAATAAATGTGAATACCGTGATTTATTTCACATGCTGCTTTTTAAAAGCCAAGTAAACTGATACAAAATAGAAACTTATGGACCTAGCATCTGTTAAGCACCTGCTTGCCTTAAGAGAAAAAAAAAATGGTGACATTGCTATTTTAAACTTGGTTTTCTCCTTGGGTACTTATAAAATTGCAGCAGGATCACCCTTATTCCATGAAAAGGTCAAGTTTAAAGTTACCGAACCTCTATCAGAAAACAGGATCGGCTTCCTAGGCTCTGGTTTTTGCTGCAAGCTCAGCTATGGATTAAATAAATAAATACAACATAAATCATCTGTTCTGTGTAACTGGTGAAGCAGTCAACTGAGTAAAATGGCAAAAAAAAAAAGATTTGTTTAATCTTTTTCCTTGCTTTCTAAGATTTGCAGGTAAATCAATAGCAAAATGTAACTACTTTGGCTATTTAGTTCTGTAAGAAAGTAGAAGTCTGCAGACTGGTGTTAATAGACTGCTATAACGTCAGAAAAGGAAATGGAAGCTTTTTTGCCGTGGTTTTGCTAATGTCTTTTAGCCCTTGTGCTACTGCTGTAACGGACATGAAATTATGGGAAAGAAAACAAATAAGAGCTTTTAAGTAAATCCTAAGGGTATCATCAGTACAGTCTTTTGATCTGACATGGTGATATAGAGGATACAAAAGGCCCAATTTATGAAATAGATCTGTGTAACAGTGAACAAATCCCCTGGGCCATTTGCTGGTTGATTTAAAACTAGCCACAGCTAAGTTCGAGTCTAGGCAGCTTTGCAGGTTTTGACCATTTAGGTTTAACATTGACATTATTGTTCTGAGCTGACAGGTCATGCAGGCCAAGTCTTTTGATGAAAAGTAGTCACCATGGATCTCAGTTAAATATGTTTTCATTTAGTTGCATCACACTTTGCTCAAATAAAACGTTAAAAGAAATATTTATCAGGAATTTGCTTCTCTCGCAAAAGGTTAATGGAATGGTAACACTATAAGGCCATGGCCTGATTTGTAGTTTATCAGGACACAGTTATGCCCTGGCAATGCCTGTTTTTCCATGATACAGTATTGCTCTCATCTTGTTCCAGCCCATGGATGAAATAACCTTTAATTATCACAAGGTGTCCTGTTTTTAAATACTATTTTCTTCCTTAAGCCATCACTGCTATACCACAGCTTCAGGGTGGTAAAATCTGTAATGCTGTGTTGCACCTAATCTTGAAGCTGAAATAAGCTAACTTCTTGTGAGTGTGATCAAACATGTATTTGGGGACATTACTGCTTTATTACCATATTAATTTGAATTTCATTTAAGTTCAATAAATCCTAAAGTGTGGTCATAGGTCAGCCTGCACAGTAGCCATTCTCTTTCAAGCATTCAGAAAATAAGAGATATAAAAGCATTTTGTTGCTTGTGGTTTCCCCTTCAATTGTCAGTTTCAGTCACTATAATTGAAAAATATAAAAGAGTGAGTTTGGTCTAATCTAGTGGTAAAGACACCAGGCTGGAAACCAGGAGACCGAGAGGCCTTAAGCATGGAAGCTGTCTGGGTGATTTTGGGCCAGTTATTCTCTCTCAGCCCAACCTTCCTCAGAGAGTTGTAGGGAAAATAGGAGGAGAAGATTAGATGTGTTCACCACTTTGAGTTATTTAAAAATATAGTAAAGGTGGAGTATAAATAAATAAACATTAAAAATAAACAATGACCACAAGCTACAAATCTGCTTGCCCAACTGCTAGTTGGTTTCAATTTATAGGAAAATCAAGAAGCTGGTTGCACAGTCTATTTTCTCTCTGGAACTATTTTCACCCTATTACTATCCATATATCTTCATATTATTCAAGAAACCTGGGTGATGCTCAAATGACGAATGGAGGAAGAGTAGGCAAGGAGCCTAAGGACATAATATCTATCTCTGCTGTAATACCACAACAATTTTTTGGCTGCTGGTAGTAGATATGTTCTTCACCAATAGTAATAAATGAAAAATTACTGAAGTATCTTGTTTTATTTTTGATAGGGTGGAAATAATGCAGGTCATACTGTCGTTGTTGACGGGAAGGAATATGATTTTCACCTCTTTCCTAGTGGGATAATTAATCCTAAGGCTGTTTCTTTTATTGGTAAGTATTCCATTTAGACTCATAAGATCCAAATATAAATTTATTCTTTACTTCAGCAACATGTATGTGTTATCCTTCTCAGTATGGAGGAATAAATATGACTGAATTTAAAGATAAAACAACCTCTGCATTTTCTTGTTTCATTTTCAGATTTTTTTGTCTGTGCTTTTTCAATAAAAGAAATTAAAAAATACTTAAGATTCGGCATAAGTGACTGAATTCTTTTTAATATTCAGAAGAACATAAAACAGTTGTTAAAAATCCCACTTTATGTCTAATTATCATACATTTTAGTTACATTTTGCCATTACAGGAGAAGTGGTCTCTTCTAAGCCAGTTGCACCAGATCTGGACCCAAATGATGGCACTATTAGGTGCATTGGCCTCCAGCTGCTGCTGGTAAATGCCAGGTCAGTGTAGAATAAGAGACTGTGTCCATCTACAATATTGTGGTGGATGAATATATTGATCTGGCATGTGTTGCTAAGACCAAATTAGGTGATGACGGATATAGTCCTATCAAAAATATTCTCAGCTAAGTTTCAAGTCCTGCAGTACCTACAACACATTGGTCATGCAGAAGGGATAGTGCAGAGATTTTCTCAATACAGTACCAAAGAGAATTGACTTGAAGGTAGCTGGCTACAAATGCTTATATGTGGAATTGGGCCATAGAGATAAACTAGCTAGGAGTCCAGCAGCAACCTGCATGAGTTTCTGGATGTCATCTCAAGGTCATCTGCAGCTCCTAAGATTGATCATCTAGGTCATGGGTGTCAAACTTGTGGTGCCATGTTGCTGTCCTGTGATGTTTCGCGACGGTTTTCCCATTTGCGGAACTGGGGTGGGCATGGCCTACGTGTGACACATCTGGCCCAGAGCCACCAGTTTGATACCCCTGATCTAGGGGGACTTCAGTCTCCTTGTTCTGGGAGAGGAATCTATACAGTTTATAAATTTATGGGCTCCCTGGCAACTATGGACCTGTTCCATGTAATCTTGGGTGCAGTATCCATGAATGGGCATAAGCTAGATATGTATGGTCTTGTGTTTGGAGCAGACGAGACATAATCTGGAGACGAAAGACTGAGATGCACCTTCAGTTGCCACGTCTCATTGCTGGCTTTTCCTATACTCAGATTTCTATGCTGTAACCTAAACAAACATTGGGGAAGGCAAGCTATCCTCTTTGCTGATCTCAAGAAGCTGAAAGTTTAGTTTAGATTCTCTTAGGAATTTTTCTGTCATAGGAGAGAAGGAGTGATGGTACCGGTATTTGGGAAAGATGTTGGAAGACTTCAGTCAAGAAATACTACTAAGGGAATGGTCAGGTAAGATACAGCATAGCCCACAAGTGGTTTGAGGCCTTGCAATGTCTCATTTTGAGAGTTACAAAATTGATGTCAGTCTTGTGGGAAAAACAAGATAGAAATTGTAACAGGCTTAAGATAATTCTACTTTACATAAAGCTATCATGAAAGCCTCAAAATACATGTCTCGCCGCATATCCTTTATAGCCAAGAAACTAGGGAAGGACCTTTCCGAGCCTCTTGCCTTGCCCACTCTCCAGTTGCGGGTTATGCTATCTCGTATCTGACCATTCCTTTGGCAACATATCTTAATCCAGTCTCCCAAGGTCTTTCCCACCTGCTATCACAAAGGAGGAGATTCTGGATTAAGCCGGCTTCAAGTTGTAGAAAACATCAGAAAGACTTTTAGAGGAATGGAGTTTCAGATTAAATTGGAGTAGACAATAAATGGCTATTGAAGATGAACTGTTAGTTATGGGACAGAGAAAAGTTGTCTGGTAAGCCTAAAATAGCCTGCTTAGTGTTAATACTGCTGAAAGCTCATTAGTGCCAAAGTGGTTCAACATGCACAAAGCAATCTGGGGAAGTGCGCTAATGTCCAGAAAAGGATGAATTGAACTGGGGGACAGCCACTCAGTCAATGCAGAGGGTATCCAGTGAGGGTGGCAGAATGTGCCAAAAGGTAAATCAAAGCCTTCCAGTTAGATAAAGGCCAGCTGCCAGATTGTCTGAGAGACACAGAAAAAAACTTTGCCATCAATCACTGTAACCCTTCCTTAGAGGAGAAGGCAGAGAGACACAGCAAAGTGTCTCTCCTTATAATATGGATCCTAACTCAATAGTCCATTCCCTCATAACTCCATTGAAAACTTTAATTAGAAAAGCTGGAAAAACCCAATCTGTTGCAAATTCTTCTGATATAAGAATAGCTGTATTTACCTAAGGCTTAGCCTTTTAAGGATGATATTTGATGTCTTGATTTTACAGCAAAAGTTTTGTGTGTACCTTTTAGGTAATGGAGTGGTTATACATTTACCTGGCTTATTTGAAGAAGCTGAAAAAAATGAGAAGAAAGGTTTGTACCTAATATTTTTCTTTATGTTTGCTATAAATAGCGCTTGTTATAAATAGTGGCACTCACCCTTATTTTAAAAGGATATTTTAACGTTCTGAAAACAGAAAATGGGCCTACCTCATTTATTGTGCACAAGAGGTTAAGACTGGAAAAAAAATCAAGAGATGGCAAATTACATTTCCCTTAAAGACACTTTTTGTGACTGTAAATGCGTCCCTGATGGTGAGCAGGCTTTGGCCTACGTGGCTGCGATATTGGCCTCTGCATGCCACACTTTTGAGTATTATTGCTCTAAGAGCAAGGTTTTTTTATCCTGGGTAACTGAAGGGGGTTAGTTGGGGAATTCTGGCAGCTAGAGTCCATACATCTTTAAATTGTCAGTTGAGAAAAGACTGCTGTAGATTGTTCAGTCCTCTATAGCCACATTCTTCTAACTGGTACACATTTCTTCTGATAGGATTAAAAGACTGGGAGAAAAGACTTATAATATCAGACAGAGCACATCTTGGTAAGTAGTATTCAGAGAGACAAAACAAATCATACATTTTTTCATATTGTTGTTAATTTTATTTGTACTGGGAAGAATTCATATTTTTGTATCATTTTTATATAACTCTTATTAAAAGTTTTAACAAGAATATAAAAACTAACACAAATACAGCATAAAAAGAGAACAATGAAAGAGAAAGAAAAAAGAAAGTGCAGAAAAAATATAAAAAGAAATTAAAAGAAGCTTATTAATCCTTTGCAGCAAATACAAGTATGATTGCAAAGTTATCTCTTACTCTAAGGTTACAAAAAAGCTTTTTCAATTACCCAATTTTTTCTAATCATGAAAACCACAAGTCCTAAATGCATTTTTTCTGTTTCATGCAAAAGGTCTACAAGAATTTTACAGTTAGCCATAAATATATATACCATCTTTTCTCTAATTAAAAAAGGTAATTTAGCAATCTTAATATTTTTGTCTATGAACAAATAATTCTTATTTTAATATATTTGATGCAACAGATGGTAAATTAAAATTAAGATTGTTTTGACATGGGCAGTTTCTTTATTTTGAAGCACAACACTGCTAATCCTTACACCAGCTTGATTCCTTCATTGTTAGAACATTAAAAGCATAATTGTATGAAATATTTGAAAATCAAACCTTGTTTTATCTCCCTCAAATCTTCATGCGGCTTTTCCTCTGCTATGCAGTGTTTGATTTTCACCAAGCAGTTGATGGACTTCAAGAAGTGCAGCGTCAAGTACAAGAAGGGAAAAAGTAATTATATATCTTGGTATACTTGAATTCTGCTACTAGATGTGGCATAAGTCTGGAAAGAAAACATATAAAATGCAACGATTCTGTTACTTTTTGGGCTGTTCTTGCTTAAAATATCAATTTACACAGCATGCATGCACAACTGAGTTTCAAATGTGCAAGAGTCACAAATTGTATAAGAACACTCTGATCCCTATATGTGTCATGCATATATATCACATGGACTGTGTTTGTATAAAAGGGATGCACCAATAAGAGCTGTACCTCTATACAACTGGTATCTGCTCTGAAGAAAATAAATATGCCTTACAAACAGTGCATGGTGAGGCAGATCAGGTGGTGAGGTTTTCATTCTGTGGAGGACTTGAATGCCAGTCCATGTCCAATATCCATATTTATTTATCTTGCTGCCTTCTTCCTATCTACACATGGGGCTCTGTTATAGAATCTGCACTTTAGAACATGGCAGCTCTTCATGACACAGCACACAAATGGAAATCTTGCTGTTATCTCTTTGTGAGAATGATAAAGTTATGGGCACACAGACTAATGTAAAATTTAGACAACGAATCATATTTATTATCTTTCCTAAGGCAAATTTAGTGACATCGCATTACTGCCCAGATTATGTGTGAGAATCTCCTCATGTTTGTTCAATTATACAACTGCCACTGCTGAATTAGTATTACAGTAAAAGCTGAACAATGAACAAAAAGGCACCTTTGTATTAGGGATTTGGATTCTAAAAGTATTTTGAACTGCCAGAATCGGCTTCAAACGATATTAAGGTTGATTATAAGGTGACATGGGATACAAATGGATCATAGAGTAGAAAAATCTCTTATATTATTAAAGCCAGGGTTACGCTGGTGAGTATTTACTGATATAGTCGCTTGGAATCAATCCCCACATGGCATCAGAACTGCACGTGGTAGGGAGGAAATCAGTTTTGAGTAAAAGATTGCTCATATTCAAGTAATTATTGGTAAACTTTTCCAATGTTTTGGGAAAAGACGATATAGTTATTGACGTGCTTTTTTCCCCTTCCAGTTGACCAGAGTCATGTCTCTGTGCTGGAGGTTATATTTGATAGGTCACCGAGCTGGAAAATGATATCCAGTTAATCTATTTAGAACAACTCTGAAAAATCTGGCAGTGAAGTAGCGAGAGGAAGCATCCTCATAGCAACCTTGGCACACAGTATAGTATGGAAAAGTACTTGTACATGCATAGCGTTCTGGTCCAGTTCAATTAATCAATGTGTGGTAATATAGCTACTGCTGGATTCCCCAAAAGAAAGACATTGTGACTGTTGAGATGATCAGAACTTCCCAAACATGGATGACTGAAGTTTGGAAGATGTGCAGTTGAGAGGAATAATGCCTTACAGAGAGAATATATCGCTCAGTGACCTCAGAGAAATGGAGGTTGGGAGCATTATACTTTTCCAGTTATATTTGTTGTTTACCTGGATTGCCTTTTGCCTGAGAATCTTCAAAATATGATGCCTGAGAATATAAGGAAGATAAATATTTCCATTTGGATAATTTATTTAAAACATTTGTATAATCTTTTCTTAAAGGCAGAACTCTGTGAGGCTCATCATATAAAACTTAAACAATGTATACAGCAATAAAACAATAAATTTAAAAAATAAAGACCAGTAAAACCAAAATAGAAAAATGTGGTGTCAAAATGACACTTTTAATTTTAAAGGGATAGCTACACCCCTCCTCCTTGTTCTAATTACCCCTTTATTTTTTGCTACTTTTCAATTGGCAAGTTTGACTTAAGTTAGGGTTGGTCCTGATATACTACCACTTTATTTCTTTTAAAGAGAAATTGAAGTCGGTAGTTGATGAAACAGGAGCTAACGTTGTAATTCCAATTATACCAGCCTTCCCTAGTGTGTTAGATTTTGGCATCCAACTTGAGTTCCAAAATAATATTGTTCAGTGAGAGTCATCTGTGCAATCCATACAACTTTCTTCTATTCAAGCATGAAAAAGTAGGAAGCTTTTTTTCCAATTTTGTTTGATTTCTCAAAATAAAATAAAACTGTATCTGTTCTGGATCTGAAAAGATCAAAGACCACATAGGTGAATATTTTTTCTACTGCCTGCCTGCATGCATGCATGTACGTCCAGGCTACTCATTTTAACCAATTCCTATTACAAGACATTTGGAAATATCTGTACCACTAAATAACTGAATGGTTCAACAGTTGATTTCACTCAATTGTCTTTTGTCGCTAGCATTGGTACAACAAAAAAAGGAATTGGACCAACTTATTCTTCCAAAGCTGCACGGACAGGACTTCGGATTTGTGATCTTCTTTCAGACTTCAGTGAATTTTCATTAAGGTATTCTAGTCAACCACACAGCAAGGAACTTTTTGGATGGGAACTTTTTGTATACTCTTAAGATACAGAAAGAAAAGTATGTATGAATGTGCTCTGTGGGGAACTGTGAAGATAGTTGTGCATATATTACTCAAAACAAGCTGGATTTTTAAGAAATATTTATTTCATTGACTTTAATGAGATGAATTCTGATTATCTGTGACACTTAAAAACCTGTTGTTTGAACATACAACCTGGTCTTCATGCATATTTCATCAGGTATTTTTTGCCTGTGATTTGTAAGGAAAAATACAGTTTAAAATATCAATGTACAGTATATGCTGCTAATTGTTGATGTTTTGTAGATTTAAAAATCTGGCTCACCAGTACAAGTCAATGTTTCCTTCTTTAGAAGTTGACATAGAAGGACAACTAAAAAAACTAAAGGTAAATCTTTAACATTCCCATCTTGAGACTTTGAATTTTAACAGAATAGCTAATCCTAGATTGGATTATCTTTTCAGGAGAATGTCATATTTAATGATAGTGAAAACTTCTGAGATGATTAGAACTAGTGTCATTAAGCCTTCACCTAAAGAATTTATAATCTCTTGGACTCTGCTGAATATTTTTGTCCTATATGCAATTACAGTTAGTCCTCAATTTACGACCACAATTGAGCCCAAAATTTATGTTGCTAAATGAAACATTTGTTAAGTGAGTTCACCCCATTCTGCGACCTTTCTTGCCATAGTTGTTAAGTGAATCATTGTAGTTGTTAAGTTAGTAACGTGGTTGTTAAGTGAATCTTGTTTATCGATTGACTTTGCTTGTCAGAAAGTAGAAAAATGTGATCACATGATCCCGGGACATTGCAACTGTCATAAAAGTGAGACAGTTGCTAACAATCTGAATTTTGATCACATGACTATGGGAATGTACAATGGTTGTAAGTGTGAAAAATGGTCATAAGTCACTTTTTCAGTGATGCTGTAACTTTGAATAGTCACTAAATGAACTGTTGTGAGTCCAGGACTATCTGTAGTTATGAGAGATAACTATTCCAGTCTGAATGAGTCAAACTTTTCCAATCATCTTGTTCAGATCCTTAAGTGTCCAAAATCATCCAAAAGAATCTGACAAAATGCCATTTATTTTTCTGCAGATTAAACAGGCAAAAACTTCAGAATTCATCATGATAAATATAATCAATCTTATTCTTATGTCTAACTATCACAGTAGGTGACCTGTCTGTATATTTCTTCCTCAATTGCCCAGAAATTGTGATTTTTCTGGTTTGGCTTTTGATGTTTCTATTAACTTTCAGCCAATATAGGAGAAATATAGTAACTTTACATATATATGGAATATTGCAGGGATATGCTGAAACAATAAGACCAATGGTCCAAGATGGAGTTTATTTTATGTATGAAGCACTACACGGCCCTCCAAAGAAAATTCTGGTGGAGGGTGCCAATGCAGCACTGCTTGACATTGATTTTGGTATGTTACTTGGTATAATATATGGTTGTTTAGCTATGTAGAAATCTGTGTAATAAATTATTTTGTCCATGCACATAGATATCAGAAGATTTAGATTATTATTTCATGAGTAAGATGCATACTGATGAAAAATAACAATGCATACAGATGAGAAATAAAGCATGTTATTTCCCGAAGCCTGACAGGCCACTGAGAGAAATGGTAGTTAGTTTACCCTTTTCATAGTCTTAAATATTCATATTTTGTATGCATTTTAGTCATGCTGATAGTAATTGAAATCGATGAGAACATGGTGATTTCAATGGGCATATTATAACTATGACTTAATTTGGATCCAACCATATCAGAGTATCTTATTTAGGGGTCAATGTGAGAGAAGGTACTACCTCTTTTAAAATGCTAGTGACTAAAGATTAGGAGCAGAGTTCCAAGAAGGAATTTGTTTTGTGCTGTAGAAATGCGCTTTCTTCTCAGTTGGCTTATTAAACCATTTAATTTGTTGCCTTCCGGAACCAAATGTAGAGCATCTTTTTACAATCATATAGTTATTCCTCCTAATTGGAACTGGCAACTCCACTGCTAAACATGACCATACCAACTTACAACAGCAGTTGCAACAGTTTTGGTTGCCAATGTTAAGCGAATCCTGCACAGTTGTTAAGTGCAGTGTCACATAATCATATGCGATGTCCTGCTGTCTTCCCCGTTGACTTTGCTTGTTGGAAGTTAGCAATGATGCTGGAACCATCATAACTGCAAGTTGCTTGTTAAGTAGCCAAATGATGATCATGTGACTATGGGGACACAATGATGCTGCAAGTATGAGGTATAATTCTGAACAATTGCTGAATTGGTGGTTGTTATATGAGCATTATCTGCATATAGATGTTAAATGTAACAATATTTATAGAACCGTGGTACCACAGTGATTAGAATGCAGTATTGCAGGCTATTTATACTGACTGCTGACTGCTGCTAGCAGTTTGGCAGTTCGATTCTCATGGGCTCAAGGTTGACTCAGCCTTCCATCCTTCCAAGGTCGGTAAAATGAGGACTTAGATTGTTGGAGGCAATATGCTGACTCTGCAAACTGCTCAGAGCTGTAAAGCATTGTGGAGCATTATATAAGTGCTATTACTAAGTGCTATTTAATAGTATAGAAGACCAAAATGTGCTTGATAAACCTTCTAAGACTCTCAGGCTTCTTCAGCACGTAATTCATGTGATTCCCTGATATTTAAAGTTATTTAAGAAAGTGATACATTGAACAGCTGTTTGAAATAAAGTGCACTCTTTTTTTAAAGCATGGTGGTCCTAATTTTTGCTTTTTTCTAGGCACATATCCTTTTGTGACATCATCAAACTGCACCGTGGGTGGTGTATGCACTGGGTTGGGCATTCCTCCTCAGTTTATTGGAGAAGTTTATGGAGTCGTAAAAGCCTACACAACAAGAGTGGGAATTGGAGCTTTTCCAACTGAACAAATAAATGTAAGTTTGTTATTATAATTAAAATAGTAGAAATAAACTATAGTAAGCATTGGATAATACAGATTTAGAGTATTTTACAGCCCCTAGGCCACATCTGGTCCTTTGGCTGTCCCTATCCAGCCCACGTGGGTCAGTCAAAAATTAGAAATGAAATGTAAATAAGTGCACCACAGGAAGCAGTAGAAGCTGAGTCAGGTCTGGTTCTGCACGGTCATTGTGTACTTCTTCAGCCAGATCAACTAACCATAGGAGGGGAAGGAAGGGAAGCGCTTTTCTGTATTTGTGCAGTGCTCACCCCGTGCCTGGAGCAGCCTAAGGAGACAACAGCAATTGTGCTTTAGAGGGGACACAGGCTCGTCCACCAACCACCGCCTTGCTGAAAGTGAGGGCCTTGTAAGCAAGCAGGTGGAGCATAGCCAGGATCTCGCAGGAGAGCAGTGGTGGTGGCAGAAGAGTGGCAGCTAGGCCAGGCTGGTCTGAGGTGAAGCTCTACACTCCCACCTCCCTCAAAATGTTGGTTCCAGTGGCCAAAGTCACCAAGAAGGAGCTCAAGTCTAACCACAATGGGGCCGACAAACTCTTCGACAAAGAGCAACAGGAAGCCTATTGGTTTGGCCCCCACAACAGTCCTAGTTTCTCATGTGGCCCCTTGGGAAAATTAATTTCCCACCCCAGGATGTTGTAATGATCCTGTGCTAATACATGCAAGTATTAAGCCAATCTCAAACTTTATTATAAAATAGAAAATGCGTGGATGGTATATAACTTGCTCTCCCAATTGTCTTAATTTTCTTTAAAGTGTGATTCACCACCACCATCACAGCTCCATTCTACAGCATACTTTAAAATGTCTTTTTACAAGGTATCCTGATCTGAATCTAATTTTAAAAATTGTGTCCTCTCCCAAATACACTCCCTGATTCTCTCAATTTGGAATTCTTAATTTGTTTATTTATTTTTTTACTGTAGTTTATAAATGCCACTGGAATGGCAGACAAAGTGGTAGAATAGGGTAAAGTAATCCAGAGTCACACTGGACACAGATTTAATCAATAATTAGACTATTGGGGGGGAAATGAGCATCATAAAGAACTGCATCCCAAATTCTGCATTTAGGATTGAATTAAAAATACACAATACTCTAAATCCAAAGTATGATTTGAATGACTAAATGAGGATTGGATTTTGCATTCTTTTCTGTTTTCTTATGTACCTTTTCTTCATGCGTATATTAAATGCTTTGATAAATACATTTACAAATGCTATAATCTACAATTATAACCTTACATCAATCGTAATTTGGAATAAGTTTCTAAGTCTGATTTTAGGTCTAAACACAAACTATAACTTACCAGCTTGGAATTGGAATCCAATCCTGACTAATGCTAAATTAAGAAAAAAAAAACCTGCATTTTGGAATTTGGAAAATTGTTTGACTTGGTGTGCCATGTTGAACATCTTTTGTCTTATAAATTATTTTTAAAAAAACATGTATTTTTGACATGACAATAGTTCATTTACTAGCGGCTTTTGACATTTGGCTATGACCACAGTTCTAATATCCTGGGTATCTTCGTCTCTGGTAGGAAATTGGAGACCTTTTACAGTCACGAGGTCACGAATGGGGCGTGACTACAGGCAGGAAAAGACGTTGTGGCTGGCTAGACCTTGTCATTTTGAGATACGCTCATATGATCAACGGATTTACTGCGTAAGCATCACAGATTTTGATCTACACTTGGAACTCATAACTTTTAAACCGGTGGAGTACAAATATGTAGGTACCATTATAATTAGTCTAACAAAGCTATGTTTTATATTTTGATAAGAACCAGTAGCACTTTATTCCAAAGAAAATAAAATTTCTCTTCAGTGCGCTTAAACATCTTGGGTAAATAGCACTGTACAATAAACAACAATCGTTTTAGGAGCTGTAAACCAGAAAGAAGCAGGAAATAGAAAATGGTGTTTACATGGTACATGCTTGCTATTTTTGCCTCATCATAAAGTTTTGCATCAGTGTTTAATCTTGCAATCTGAAATATATTGAGAAGATGCATAGTATTTATTTTAAATTCTGAGTGATGTGGAATGGCGATTAGCATTAACTAAACTTAATGGAAGTAAAGTCAAGCCAAGTGATACCTGTGATTGGCCTGTAAATTGCTCTGAATATAAGCTTAAAAAATAAGTTTGATATCTGTGGATTGCTCATACTTGAAATATAACCATCTACACTGCACAAGTTTTTAAAATACGGATCATTTAATTCTTAAATGGCATACCTAAATTTTCATCATTTGTATGTAACTAAAATTTACTGTGTGATACATACCTCAGTATTTAAAATGCTTCTTAACATGTATATTAATTAAACTTTATCCGGCTTGTAACATATTTTTTGGTGATTACTTCAGAACAGTTCGTGCTGATGGGATATCCCATAAAAACATAAAAACAGGTAGAAGTGATTCAATGAGGTGTTGAATGAGACTAATATCTATCTAATATTTTCTGGGCAGTTTGGCATTGACAAAACTCGATATTCTGGATGTCCTTGATGAAATCAAAATTGGTGTGGCTTACAGGCTAGATGGGAAAAGAATTCCATACTTTCCAGGTATGTTATTAACTGAATATATTACTTTGAACTAGGTTGAAAAGTTTAATTAGGCCAGGCGTTCCCCAAACACCAGGAGACAAAACTGATGAAGATTTTGCTGCTCACTTTCATTTCCCTTCCAATTTTCTTGCATCCTTTGGGAAGGTTAAAGAAGATTTCTAAAATAAGCACATGGTTACAGCCCTTCAAAATTTTTAATTTCCAAGAAAGCCTAAGAGCTCATACAGAAACTGCAGCTGGGCTTCATAGCATGCCAGTTTTCTTTTAAAAAAAGAAAAATCTGAAAGACTTTTAAAAGGACACGTGACACAGGAACCTGACAATTTTCAAAGGACAGGTTTGTACATGTGCATTTTGACACTTGTGCACCACGTATACACATTCTGTAATGTTAATAATTAAGAACTGAGAAGATCTGATCTTTCCTCTCTTTCTTTTATATGTTAACTATTACAAAACTTACATATAATCAGTGACATTGCCCCTTCTGTGAACTAGCCTATTGACTTCATATAAGTTAAATGAGTGCAATAATTTTCTCCATAATTTCACTTAAGATGCTTCTAGATAAATAGATAATTGTACAGTTATTCTGCCTTTCTGAAGTCAAGAAAATGATACCTAAATGCTGTGAATAAAGTAGGGTGATTGTTCAGTAAAGATCTCAACTGGTTGTTCTATATAATCTGATTTATTCTAAAAGCAAAGATAACCATTTTTGAGAAAAAAATGCTTTTGAGACCAATGGTCAGCAAAGGTGCAGAAGCTTCCAAGATTAAGTTAAAGGTTTGTCTACTATGTTTTTAAGTGTAAATGCTAAACAATGATTACATTAATCTTATAACCTGAATAAGTTGCCTTTTCATTCTTAAAGCTAATCAGGAAATATTACAAAAAGTGGAAGTGGAATATGAAACAATGCCAGGTTGGAAAACTGACACAACTAGTGCCAGAAAATGGGAGGACCTTCCATCTAAGGCACAAAATTACATTAGATTTGTGGAAAACCATGTTGGTGTGTCAGGTATGTATTGTCAGCATTACTGGTCTAACAGAGTTTGCTATGTTTATTAAGTTGCACACAGAAAGGATTATCCCAATTAGACAAAGCAGCAGCTTTCTAGAGATTGAGATAGATTATGGGTACTAAGTAATTGCTATTGTTAAAAGAAAAATTAATTAGAATTATTGTCATGCCTTTGTGAAACTAGTATACGCTAGATTTCTTGCTCTGCAGATATTCTAAAGGTTTTTAGTAGCTGCATATGATCCATAACTGATCAACTTTAACTTAATCCATCTCCGTATTGTTGGCATTTGGTAGAGGAGATTTGTTGATTAAATAATACCACTGCTAATATTTCAGGGCCTAAGAATTATATAATGTGATTCGCCATAGTATTTGAACCACAACACTGAAACAAAGTTGACATATTTTTTAAAAATAGTATATAAACAATACTAATGTTTTTTTTCTGTTTCCTGACAGATAACAAACAACTTTTATTACATGGCTGCCTTAGAACTAATTGCTTTTGAATTTGGATTCTTTAATTTACCGTCTAGGATTATATAGCCTATATGGATAATCCCCAATTTAAGGCCATAATTGACCCCAGAATCATGGTCATGAATTGTGGTCATTAAGCAGGTCACAAATAATAATGCTCAATTTTACGACCATTTTGTGGTGGTCATTAAATGAATGGTTATTAAGTAAGCACCATGGTTATTAAGAGAAATCCATCTTCCCCAATGGGTGGGTTTTTTTTTGCCAGAAACTGGAAATAAAAGTCAGAAATTAAAAATAACGACCATGAGATGCTGCAAATGGCCATAAATGCAAACCAGTTGCCAAGAGCCCAAAAATGCAGTCATGTGATGGTGTGGGGTTTATGTGCATGGCCATTGGAACTTTAAACATGGATTGAAAGTACCTCTGGGAAGGTCCATCGTAACTTTGAATGATCACTAAGTGACCAGTCGTTAAACAAGGACTAACTGTAATATATTTCATTATGTTATTTATTTACTATTTATTTGTTATGTTATTTCTAATTATTTCTTTTTTCTTCTTCAGTTAAATGGGTTGGAGTCGGAAAATCAAGAGAATCAATGATCCAGCTCTTTTAAGGGCCCATAGAAGAGCTGCACTGAGAAAGGATTCGCCTAATCTTTCCTGATCCCAGACTAAGATGAAAATGCTTTTAAAATCAAAATAACCTTCCTAGACTATGATTAGAAAAGAACTTTTTCTTATTTTAAAGTATTAAAATGGCTTGAAAAATAACATAAAAATAATTGGAGTGAATTGGCTGAGGAGAATCTTAAGATGTATATACTACTAAAACTCTCCTGTTTGTCTATCTGTAATCTTCAATTGGGCGAAATGATACTCGTAGGGCAACCATTTTTTAATCAATGTACTATAAGTCAGGGATCTCCAATCTTGTCAACTTGAAGCCTGGAGGACTTCAACTCCCAGAATTCTTAAAGTTGACAAGGTTGGAGACTCCTGCTTTAAGTGGACTAACTTAAAGAATGCATCCAAAACCCAGGACCCATTACTCCCATGGAATTGAAATTTGGCAAAACTGTGCCCATTTCAGTGTTACCACCCAGCCGTGGTCAGTCGAAGCCACATGATCATAATTTCCAATGCTCCCTGTCAACTTCCCACAAGGAAAGTCAATAGGACATTATCAGGTAATTGGAAATCAATCACTCGCCAACTGCATTTTTATCTGCCCATGATCATTCTGTTTCTCTGCTGCTAAAGAAATATCTCTGGAACAATAATCCAGTGGATCACGGGCTGTCTAGTAACTTTTAAAAAGTGTCAAACTCATATGGAATTATTTTTTGAAACTGCTATAAAAAACAATCTTTCTACCATAGTGTTTCCATTCTTATGTCAGGAAATGGTGAGATATGCATATATGTTATTGAAAACAAACTGCATAGTCCACTGAAAAGATAGTAGAACTAAGCAACTCCTTTTAAATCTGAGAGTCAAAACAAAATTTATTTATTTTATTTTGTCAAGCAATTATTAGATAACAGGTATAGGTATAAATTATCTTGGAGTCTGCATTTCTTACAAATAAACATTCTTCAGATATCAAAACACAAAGGGAAGCAAAAGAGGTTATGTCATAGAAGAAGGAGGTAAGCCAATACCTGAAGTTATTTGTTGGCAGTGGTGAGACTGGAGTGGATACAGCTGTTAGAACCTAAGATATAGAACATCCCTTCATTCAATATTTTCTAGAAGTGCTCCACATGAAGCCCTCAGAAGTTCTGTACTTTCAGCTCATTATATATTAGGCAAGAAAACAAAGAAAAGCTAGTAAACAAACTTACAGCAATGAAAATGTATTTTAAAAGACCATAGCAAAATATTATCTTGCAGTATATCACAGTGAAAATACCATCTGTAACTTCACGTTTTTTACTATGCTCTCAGGTCATAGTCTTCACTGTTGCTTATTACTGCTCACTTGACTTTCAGCAGAATATAATATTTTTCTATCACTTTTCAGAGAATAAGCAATTCAGAATGTTAGTCTATCAAATTCTGGATAATAAACTATTCTTCAGCAACCCATAAAAATGTAGTGACTATAACTATTGACAACAAAATAAGTAGCATATGCAAAGAAAGTGTTCTGGTTGTGGATCTGGCAGCATGTCTACATTTATACAATTTTGAAGTAGCATTCCTGAAAAATTGGGGCTCACTTTGAATCTTTTATGATGTACCCCCTCATTGAAATAGGAAACATGCAGCAGAGTGCCAAATGCTGCTCTTATAAAATCACTATTTTCAATAACAAAGGCAGTTGGGAAATGAAAAAGGGAAAACATTTTCAGAAAAGAATATAGCATATGTTGTTTTCTGTTGCATTTGCTGTTTGCTAATTTGTATAGGCCACCCAAACTCATGCTGTCTGAGTTGGGTGGCAATATTAATGCCATAAATAAATATATGACACACTTGTTAGCATACTTGACTGGGATTTGAAAAATTGTCAGTTTGGGTAGTGCCACATCATAAATCTCTATTTTGCTAGTTAGGCGTAGGACCACAATCATCATAGGACTGCATAGCAGTTCCTATATGGATGCTGGTACCCTGGGCACTGATTGTGTATGCTAAGTGCTTACCAGTCCCATAGTTGTCCCAAGTCCCAAGTGAGTATAAGTATTAAAAAGTCTAAAGAGTTTGAGTGAGAATACGTTCCACGTGGCCAAGTGTTCTACCCTGTTTTTCATTGTAACTCTCACATGTTCGATAATATACAATAAAATCTAACTCTTTTGGAATAATTAATTTACTGAGAATCACTAATTTACTGAGAATGTGGTCTTTTCTTAGAAATACAAAAGATGATGGAAATTCTCTTTCCTGCTGATCAGTAGCAGTTTTGTATATACAGGCAATCATTGACTTATAAGCACAACTGGGGCCAGAATCCCAGTTTGCACAGTCCTGAGCGAAGTGATCATTAAGAGAGATGCTCACATGATTACTTTGCTCGGTGACTGCGATCCTGGCTCTCCTAGTTGTGATCATTAAGCAACTGCACAGACCATTAAGCAGAGCACCAGATATAGGGCCCACTCCACCATGCCCAGGAGACCGAGACACTCCCCCCCCCGGCCCCACCATGCCTGGCTACACTTTGTTTGCTTTTTTCTGTAGCTTCAGGCATACCCAGTTGATGCAAAGAGCGGCATTACTCCTGAGACTGCCCTGCATCATTCTGCATGCGGACCCCATTCTCATAATCTTTGACAGCTACAGCTCCAAATCATGCACTTTGGAGGAGACTTCCAAACGATTACAAGAATTATCGTGTTTGCTAGCCTTCCTAAGCATTCCAGCCCTCCTAAGGCTAGACAGCTAGCAAATGCCATGGTGCTGGAATTTATAAATCTCTCTAGTCTTCAGAATGGTGGCAAATCCTGGAAAAAGGACTAGAAAACTAGCAAACACCATAGTTCTGAAGGCTAAACAATTTTCTAGCCTTCAGAATCAATAGTGTTGCTAGTTTTCAAATCAGCATCCACTGAGAAAGGCAAAAGTGAAGTCATGTCATAGTTCAAGTGATACACATTATATAACTTACACCATTTTCATAGTGATATTATGGCACGTATCATCATGACTTGTATTTGATGTATATGCCTGGTCAATACCTCTGCCTCACTTTTCCCTGGTAGGGTATTTTCTAGAGAAAGTGACCCATCCTTAAGGCCCAAGAAAAATAAAGCTCTTTAGGGTGCCACAGTATTTGCTGCAATATAATGGTCTAAAATTTCCTTTTTAAAAAAAATAAGAATCCTGTGTGCTTTGCCTTGTCTTTGAAAAAAATGCATTCTCTTGTCTAGGCAATGTTAACGAGATCAATGTTTTCTAAATGGCTTTTTAAAAATGATTTGGTATGCTCTAGAAGGAGCGCCATTAATCAACTTGCATTTCAGATAGATTTTTAGTCCTGTCAGAAATGATTCAAGACTTTCCCTCAACCTAACATCTTTGCACATACTATCTGACCAAAGTTTACCAAAGTGGCCTTTACCCTACATTACATATCCATAATATGTTATCAGTTATTTGCTCACAACAATCAATGATTTGTTTTAGGATCTGTTTAAAAAGTCTAGCTTTGTAACTTCAATGTCTTTGCTATAGCTTTTTGTTAAACGTGACATTTTTCCATTGCCCAGCTGTGCATTTTCTCAAGTGAGTATCTATTGCATGGAAAGCTAGCTATAAGCACAGTCCTGATAATAGGAAACTTAATTTCTTTAGCAGCCACAAACCAGTGGCAAATACTTCCACACAGTTCCCATGTACATGGATGGGTGCTATGCGAGAACACTTCCGTAACTCCCATTCATGTCAGTGGATCTTCCCTAGACTTCTTAGTTTGCACTTGTTTAAATCAGTATTCATAATCTATTAACTTTGGCATATTTTAACAGAAATCTTTGTTCCCATAAAATAGCATCAAATGAAATTAAATATTTAGTAGTCAGGTTTTGTTATACTATAGTTCATTCTTCATGAAAAATATATATTGTATTTTGACTGTTTCCTAGGATACTGAAGCTTCATGTGAAATTTGGCTTAATTTAGTACCACTTTAGTATGCTGTTTAAATGCAATTATCTAAAATACGTTGACTCAATTAATGTGGGGAACAGCATGATAAGACACCGAAAATGTCTTAACTGTATGTACATCAGGCAAGAATAGGTCAGGTTTTGGGCCTAACATTTTTATGATGCATTGTGCCACACAATTCTTAATATATAGCAAGTATAAACCAGATGATCAAAATTGTTTTCTTGATTATTTTGTATATTGTAAATGGACTCATTTATCTTATAGCTCTTTATTTACTCAATAAAGCCTTATAAGAAAGTAATGTTGTCTCTTTGTTCTGAATCTTATGAATCACTTCTAGCTTTTACACAGAACCAGTAACACCAGAATTTATATTAAATCTGGTCCATAAAGACTAGTGATTGAAGAAAGCGGTCCCTTATTTTTATAACACATTTGAAAGTTCAAAAATTACTATCTAAATCTCATTCTAATGTGTGACTTTATATACTATTTAATCAAGATCACCTTCTATTAGCATTTTTCTTGCAGTTGCCAAATTCTTCATGGCACTCAGACACTACTCCATTAACTTTCTTTTTTTTTTAAATTTGTATTGGTTTTTAAAACAAACATAAACAAACAAAACATAAAAACATCAAGTCATCTTCCATATATGTACATACAATGTGCCAGTTGGTTTACAAATTGTTTTGTGCTTCCATTTCATAGTCTTCAATTATAATTACATTGTATATAATCTTGTATTTTCAATCAAATATTAAATACATTAATATCATTATTAATCAGTCATTTGACTATACTTTTCTTCATTCATGTTTTACAAAATGATCATATTTTACTTAATTTGTTTTATGTCAATTCATATTATCATCCCAGATCTATCCTAGAATCATTTTGTAGATATAAGAAAAGAATACATCTTTATATATTTATTATTTTCTAAAAGTCTACATATTACATTACTATATTTTATTGTCTAACCATTGATAGAATAGATCCCAAATTTTATAAAATTGTTTATCATCTTGTTCTCTAATTTCAAATGTCAATCTACTCATTTCAGCACATCCAATATTTTCTTAATGATTTCCTCCTGTGATGGTATTTTCTCATTTTTCCAGTTTTTAGCAAATACAATCCTAGCCACTGTTAATACATTTACAATCAGGTATTTCAAATCTTTACTATATATTTCAGGTAAAATTCCCAATAAATATATCTCTGGTTTCAAATCTATATGTTTTTTTGTCATTTTTTTCAACCACGTGTGGATTTTAGTCCAGTATTTTTTAGCATCCACACAAGTCCACCACATATGGTAATATGAGCCAAGTGTCTGATGACATTTCCAACATTTTTCAGATTTATTCTTGAACATTCTTGTCGGGGGAAATGCCACCTGTAAAACATCTTATACAAATTTTCTTTATATGCTGTTGACATTGTCATTTTATAATTTTGAGACCACAATTTTTGCCATTTCTCTAGATCAATCCCATATCCAAAATTCTTCCCCCAAGCAATCATAGTTTCTTTAACTTGTTCTTCTTCTAGTTTAATTTCTAATAAATATCCATACAATTTTTTAATCACCTTTTCATCAGTACCTGTCAAAATCTTATCTAAGTCAGTCAGTTTATCATAGAAACCTTCTGTTTTAGCATCTTTATCATACCTTGAATGTATTTACGCATATGAAAACCAATTCATCTTTATACCTTGTTCCTCCAGTTTTTGTATAGATTTAAGTTCACCCTTTTCATTCAATATTTCATCATATCTAACTGTTTGTTTCTTTTTGTATATTATAGGATAAGAAAATGCTTAAATAGTCGATAGCCAGACTGGAATTTTCAAATAACATTGTCTTTTAATCTTCT